TTATCTGGGGAATTTCATGTGTGTCCAGAAAATACTGAAAATAACGCCGACCTGTTCAAATATTGCACCATGATAAACATGATCCTGAAACAGGAACATTTTCAGAGAACTACATGAACGACTAAAATGATGGGTTTCACTCTTGATACCAAGTATATCGTATACCAAGCATACAGCTGAAGGGATGCCTTCATGAAATGTCTCCACTTTTAAAGTGAAAAAAGTACTTTCTTTAGACTTCAGAATACACCTGTTTAGTTGTCTGACTTCACCTAGTTACATCGTAAGAGCTAAGAAAGAATACCGCCAGCCAACAGTCAGATAGCTGTTCTCCCTCAGTAGATCAGTGCTCCACGCTTATGCAAATGCGTCAAGTCAAGCATAGAGAGTACCTCTGCAAACCTGCACAATGCACTGAGTTCAGGAACAATACTTGAGTGATCAAAACACATTTCCTTCCCCTAGATAGTGCCTTACTTCTTTCTATTTCTAACCTGCTTTGTATTATAAACCTGCTTCATTCAAGTTAAAGCAGAAATTGAATCAGAATTACAAAACAAAATTCTGCTTTTTTTTTTAAATATGAGACATTCACGTATACCACATACACTCAGCCATGATCATTCACAAGCCCTGATTTACATATCATATGTCTAGACATCTGTATGAAAGTTACTGGTTGCTTCATGGACAGATGAAAGTCTGCATGCTCACAAGGAAGTTATGTACATGTTTTTGAAAATGAGATTCCTGTTGCCTTTTCAAACATCCAGAAATTATTGGTTATTTCCACTTAAAAGCTGAAAAATGAAAATTGTTTTAATTAAGTTTGGAAAATTCTAACTCAACTTGGAGCAACAGTGAAACCCCATTACTGTCAAAACTCTCATAAAAAACATTTTTCATGCAGCCCATGAATACAGATAAGAATTAAAACTCTTACAGAGAAAATAAGAACAGTTTGCCACCATACATCATGCATAACATCTAGTTCTTGAGCCAAAATAAGCAACACAGACTAGTGAACCCATGAATATTCTGAAAGGTAAACACGGAGAATGTTTAAGGCTTTTTTTAAACACACTTCATTCTGCCTGTAATGTTCTCCTTCTGATAGTCTTATCTGTGAAGTCTGGCTGATAATGGAAAGAAATGTCAACACCCACTGGATTATGCCCTTGCTTGTGGTTTTAGACTGCTTGTACTGTGATTGCCCAAGATCTAATGCTTATTTTATTGACTCACTAATACGACAGATCTTTTCTGTAAATTCAAAGAAATAAACACGTCAATCCTTCAGTTTGCCTCTTTACCCCCTTAGAATTTATAACGACCTGCCTCCAGTCTGATAATACCATTTACTTATTTACCTCTAGGACGAAGATCTATCACGAGAAAGAGGCTGAAATGAAGCCAGGTCCAGACCAGTCCATTTGTAGTCATCTCAACAATTGCCTCTAAACATTCATGGCTTTCCCAATGGAGCAAGAAATGGGCAACCCATCTCCTTAGGTTGTAATTCTACATTACGACGATTTCTAAAATTTTGTCAGCCATACACAAGAAGCAGCCCTAAGACCAATACCACAGTACTTCATGCGGAAGGGACGAGACAGACAAAAAATGTTAGAATTCATAAAATCCCACAGTTCTGAGATCAGACAACATTTCCACTGACTGGCTGCATATGTAAACCAACATTCAGTCTGAACATGTTTGTTGTATGTACAATTAGTACATAAGACTCATTTGCTACTTTGTTCAGTAGACTTCAGCTAGCATGCATGACCAATGACAAGAAAGAAAACATCTGCAGAAACAATATATGATAAATAAGCATGCAAAGCTGGGACAGTAAGCAAAACTGAAAGCCAGATCAAGCACCACCAGCACATATAAAACAATCTGATTAACTAAATTGCCCAGAGAAGGCAAAATGCCATTACCAGATTGAGATCCAGAGCAACAAAAAATCTACACCGGACTGCAGAGACAGCTGTAGAAGCCAGGCCTCTCCCCAAAATACCACAAGAAACAAAGACTTCTTTCAGTATCACTGAGTTCAACAACAACAACTGAGTAACTGAATGCCCACCACAGGGAGCAACCAACACCTTAATAACCAGTCCCAAAGACATGGTCTTGCCTCCTTGGCATTCAGTGAGATCCAGGTGATCTGCAGACTGACGGTCTTTTGAGTGACCTTACCCCAGGCATAGGACATGCCTTGCTTCCAAGGACTTAATACACCATTGGCTATCGCTGCCAGAGCTTACAGAAGTAGTAGTAAGAACAAAGTGTTTACTTATTTAATTCTCTTTCTTGATTTTCTAATGCTATTTATCAGGTGGAAACAAAATAAAGAGGATGGCCTTGGTGGTGATGCTGTCCATGTTGTACAGACAACCAGCAAATGCTGTGAAAATGGCAAAACTAAACACCACCATTCCTCTACACAGAAGGCTCTGCTAACACTACTGTGGTAGATGCAACTTGAAAACCTTTGACATAGTAATTAAGTGTGAATTTAAAACTTAAAAGAATCTGACAATTTTCATCATACATAAATACATTTCAAATGCAGTTGAATAACAATTCTGTAAACATCGTAACAATTGATTGACACTTTTAATATTGCAGCTGGAAGGGATCTTCTACATAGTGAGCATACCTGACTTTAAACCTCAAGAAAAGAAATCACAAAGCTGATGGCATCTAAATTGCAACCAGCCTTTAATCAGCACATTAATGAACACTTCCACCATATAAACAATAAGTAAAGTACCACAGAACTTTGCTAATTTTCACATCAATTATCTACAAACCAAAGCCTTATGATGAAGAAACCACAGTGGCCTCTTCCAACTTCCCAGCAAGAGATTTATTAACAGCACACAGTGGCGACACGTCCTATTACCAAGACATTTACCACACATTGTACAGGCCACTTACTATAATATTATGAAGTAATTAATAACACCCGCACACAAAGAAGAGAGCATGTTTGCTTAGTTTCTAAATCAAAAAAAATTAACGAACCAGAGAGATGGGATGATACCATTTCATTAGCAGAGAAAATTAGAATATATTTTATTAATAAAATTCGAAGACCTGCACGTCCAAAAATTTCTCTTGACATCAAAAGGAGCTAAAAAGGTCACGCAGTTCACAGGAAAAAAAGTTCACATATGTCAAAAGCTGAATTCTTCTATTTCAGTTCTACCTATTAGCCTCTCAGAAAATTCTGGAAATTAAATAAACCAGCTTCATCAGTGGGTTTTTTTGAAATTAAGTCTTGCCCTTTTAAACACAGAAAAATATCTGCAGAGATACTGAAAGCAAGAGCCACGCATTGGATCTTTCAGGTGTCTTGCAGAACACAGCCCATGCTCACCAAGATGGTCATTCCTTTTTACCTGGGATTCTCTATTCTGTGCCCAGGAAAAGGCTGTGTCATCATCTTTATTAAAAACTTACGTCCTGCACTGGTTCATTTTGAAAAACATAAATTAAGGGCAAAGACCCACTAAAAGAGAAGAAAAACAAAAAGCAAAAAAAACAAGTATGCAAAGTTTAGTCATATTTGGACCCTGCAAACTAACATAAATAATTTGCAGGCATGTGCTAACATCCACACAGATCTTCAGCAAAATGCACGTTTCCCATATGCAAATTCCACACAGTGCAAATTCCAATCTGAATGTCATATATACTCACGTTTCCTTCTCCTCTTCCTCCTCTAGTTGGAAGTACCACCTTCCCTTGTCATGGCAAGTATTTTAGTCAAGATTTTTTTTTTTTTGATCGCACCAGACACTAGCATCATTTTTGTCGTGAATACACCACCACGACTGGTCCCAGCAGGAAGCTGGGCATGAGACCAACAGCATGATACATGGCCATAAAATGCATTACTGCCATTAAACACTGCAGATGTTGGGTCTGCAGCAGCTCCCCTCCACAGCTGTTCCTCACTGGCAGCTGCTATCAGAGGGTGTCACACCCTCCGTAGGGGCAGTGGAGAAAACGACACCTAATGGGCAAAGGTGGAAGGAGAAAAGGTATCATTTTTGTGTTCCTCCTGCTATTCACCTTCACTTACAGCTTTCCCAGTCCAAATCAGCCCTCCACGAGGATACCCCCGTTCCCTTTCCTTCTTGCCTGCCTGCTGCTGGGCACCCCAGATCCCCACTCTGCAAAGCAAACTCCAGACTCCAGCAGGTCTCGTGTCGTGCCAGAAATACCCAGCCTCTGCCCCTCATACACAGAGGAGGAGAAATCTCTTCTACTAGTGGGTGAAACCTTTCACCAGCTGTCCCAGGAGCACATACAGGCAGCAAAGTTGTATACAAAAAAAGCCTTATTGTTTCGTCATTTTTCCACTATCTCCAGATCTGTATAAGCTAACTGAAAACAGTATGCTGCAAAATGCTACAGATCTAAGTTTCTTATGACTCTTTTGCATAGCCTTTACAAGTGAACTCAGTCAAGTTTTATCTGTGTGAAGAACAGAGCTATTGCTAATTTGTCTCTACTAGCAGGCAGTTGTTCTGAATTTTCTTTCTATGGTCCCAGCACTAGAGTTTGTATTTTTGAAGGAAAATAAAGACTTCACTAACCATAAATACCTGAAAAAAAATTCAAGGAGGTAAAATTTTGTGTCTATTGAGCTTGGAAGCACTACTGTTTAGTTTAACAAAGGCACATGCATTTTATATAATTCTTGTGTGTTATCTATAATTGGTGTTCTGTTTTTCTGCAGCTGAACAGTGGTACATTCTTAAAGGATCAAGCTAAAAAAAAACCTTTACATGAAGCTCCCAGAATTATTCCATGTGGGGTGAAAGACCACTGAGTGGTTAATATCTCCACTGAAACCTTTTCCTTTAGCAGTGCATTTGTCATCCTGATAGGTATCTTGCAAAAACACGTTTGTTTTTGTCACAATGTCACAAATGTCACAACAATTTAGCAGTAATTTTACGTTAAAAGAGTATTACCGCAGTTCGGGACCTTCATATCCAGCAAGGCTGTCCTCTTGTTGTTGTCATCTATGCAATATAAATCCTGAGTTTCTGTGTAAAACTTGGTCTCTTGAAATTTCTTGATCCACATAATTTCACAGGAACACTTGAATGGATTGTCCACCAATATCCTATAGCAAAAAACCCAATTTAGTTAGAATGCAGAATGTGTCATGCACGTAGAAAAAAATAGGGGGCAGGGGGACTCCAAGCACTCAGCTGGGTGAAAGTAGAAGTTGAACCCTTTAGTTAAGAAGGATAAGGAAAGCAACCTTAGTAACCTCAGTGCAATGCAAGCTGCAAGTGGATAATGGTTTCCATGTAGAGAATGAAGCTCTCTCTCTTTGCACCAAGAATCCAGACTGCCATAGATCGGAGAGATCACACAGGGGGCTCAACTACTATCTCCAATTCACTGGTGTAAATCACGAGCACATGGAGAACTAGACTTTTCATCAAGCTCCATTCCATTTCATAACAGTCATGCAGACATCAGAATTCCTCTCTTCTACACTTGACTCTCTGCTTAGCTAATGCAGAAAGATCACGCCAGAAATGGTTTACTGCTGTGAGGTGGTAAATTCTTTATAGAGTCAAACAGTCATGGATTATAGGCAAGCTCTAAAAAACTCTAATCATAAAACAGGATTTTACCTAACCTTCAAAATTCACCCGCTACAACACTCTAGAAAATTTCACAGTAAAACCCTAGGTAATGTCATGAAGAAACACTAACTGAAAAAATGGCCCTGAAACAGAAATGTATCATCTAGCTATATGGTATGCTGCATGGAATTTAAACCACAGGTTAACAAACTTACCAAATTCTAGTTTTAAAATTTAATAAAACTACACAACAATGTAATGCAATAACGCCCAAGTAAAATATGAACAGAAACATCCCAGTATCTATGTAAGAAGTGACCCAGTGTTACTTTTTCTCCTACAGGCATAGCTGAGATCCAATAAAGCATGTGCAAGTGACTGTTTAAGGCAACTCATTACAAGGAGAACAATTGTTCTTAACAAAATTTCACAGGTATTTTCGATGTACAGAAACAAAATTCAAGTTGCTCACAGAATCTATGCTCATAAATGCTTCCTGAGGACATGAAGTGTGCAAATCATGAAAAACTCAGTTTATCAGAGCTGTAACCTGTTCCCTCAAAAGCCATCTGCAGTTCTTTGAGGATTAACAGCTGCAGGGATCATTCTCGTAAGTCTCTGAAGGAGAAATTTGTATTCACAGAAGTCATCTGCTGGGCTTTAACACCACCACAGCATGGACAAGAATTGCTTGTGCAAGACAGAGTATGAACATTAGGATCCCTTGGGTCAAAACCTACAACATGCATTTTCAAAACAGCAAGATTTACTTCCCATCTTCTGTTTCATCATACAACTTCCCTGTAAAAGAGAAATTCCCCTTGGCCAGTGGTTGAGCAGTCCTTTTTTTCCACTGTTTTATTTTATGTTAAACCCACCAAGGGAGTTAGGCACATCATAGGCAGCATGCTGGATACAGGCATGATGGCCTTCCACATACACTTGTGTGAAAAAAAATCTGACCCAGTGAAAGCAAATTACGTGTCTTCATCTTGTTTGCTCTAATTTTACAGCTGCAGATACGGTTTGTTCTAAAAGAAGCAGCCTTTCAAAGCGGCATCTCCTGCTCTATAATACCTGGTGAATATCTCCTACTTCACCCTATCCTGAACTTTTCATCCCTTTATGTTTTGATTTACAAGAGTGCTAACAACAGGACACTTGTTTGTCAGATTTAGAGGAAGCTCCTCAAAAGCTATTTATGGTATCATTCTCCTCTCAGATGCCCCTTCAAATATTCTTCCTTCTCTCCTCTTTCTGATTTTCCACCTATGTATTAGCCACTTATCAATAGAATTGTTCAACTGATACTAATATTATCACTGTTTTTCCTCCCTTCAGGCTCTGCTTTTTGCCCCCCACTTTCTTTCCCTCACTTCCCCCATATCTGTTTATCTCACTTCATCGCAATCTCTATTTGCGTACCTTTAGTTCTTCTATCCCTACACTCCAACTC